AAAAATATGCATCCATATTAACCACACTAATTATGAAGTCCGAGAAGCTGTATTACTGTATTACTATTGCACCAGGTGGTCCAACTATTGGTTGATTTTATTGTACCCAGCAAGCACTTGTATTATTATTTTTATTGTTATGGGGCTATAGGACCCAACATGTATTTATGTATCTAAGGAGCAGTTATGCACTTGCAATGCCTAATTATATTGAACTTCTTAGGCACAACTGCTTTAATTCTGGCATAAGGGCAGATCACTCTTATGGGGAAAAAACTCTGTTGAGTTTAGGCCTGTTTTTTTCAATATGAATAGGTTGTACTATAAATATGCACAATTAAAATATGTAGTTATAAAGTTTGTATTTGTTTTTTTTTAATGCAAAATAAGATGTAGTAATGGAAAAAATTATTGTATTAGCTAAAGAATTGGGCATTTTCACAGTCATGTTTGTTGTTATATTGATGAGAGAGGCTAGCTGTCTCTCTCACTTTTGTTGTTGTGGTGCCAACATGGCAGGACCTCCTTCACTCTTGCTTCTGGCCAAGATGGGAGTGCCCCAGAGGTAAGATTTGTACTTGAATATGATGTAACCATTATAAACAGAGTGACTACAGTGTCAAAACAGTGGGTTAAGGCCATCAGAACAGAGACATATTAATTGTTTCAGATGGACCATGTGACTATACTGGCTGAACAGGTAAGGGTGTGAATCCTTTTGTTATGAATAGGAAAATGCTTAACTTGCATATTCTGAATATACCTGTCTAGAGTATATTCCTATTTTTGTAATAGATGCTGAAATAACCTATTGATAGGCTTGGTGAAAACATTTCAGAGACTGAGGATGACCAATCATGAAAGTATTCCCCTAGGCTTTATAAGGCCTTATATAAGCTACCCCACACTAGAACATGTACTGAGAACTGTGCCATCAAAGTAAAAAAAAAAGGAAACATAATATTTAGTAACACATTGGCCGTCTCCCACCAAGGCAGGGTGACCTGAAAAAGAAAAAACATTTACTCCATCAGCTGCAACATAAACACCCCTCCTTCAGAGTGCAAACACTGTCTAGCCTGCCAATTTCCTTGAATCCCTTCATGTTACTCTGCTCACACTCCAACAGCACATCAAGTCCTCAAAACCACTGTCTCCATTCGGGTCTAGCATGCTCATGCATGATCCCTGGAAGTCTGAGCCACTTGCACACAAAACCTCCTATACCCCCTTCATTCCACTACAGATTTATATGTCTCGAAGTCATTCCATTTTGTTCCATCCTCTCTGCATGTCTGAACCACCTCAACAACCCCTTCTCAGCCCTCTAGATAATAGTTTTGGTAATCTCACACCTCCTCCTAATTTTAAACTATGAATTCCCTACATTACACTTACACTACATATTGCCCTTAGACACGCCATCTCCACTGCCTCCCGCCTTCTCCTTGAAGCATTCACCACCCATGTGTCACACCCATATAAGAGTGTTGGTAAAACTATGCTCTCATACATTCCCCTCTTTGCTTCCACGGGCAACGTTCCTGATCTCCACAGATTCCTAAGTGCACCACTCACTTTTTCCCCTCATCAAATCAATGATTCACCTCATCTTTCATGGACCCATCTGCTGACACATCCACTCCTAAATATCTGAATACACACACCTCCTTCATACCTTCTCCCTTCAATCTGATGTCCAATCTTTTGTCACCTATTTTTTTTTTTTTGTTATCCGCATCACCTTACTCTTACTCCAGTATTCACTTTTAATTTTCTTCTTTTACATTCCCTACCAAACTCATCCACCAACCTCTGCAACTTCTCTTCAGAATCTCCTAAAAGCACAGTATCATCAGACAAGAGCAATTGTGACAACTCCTACTTTGTGTTAGATTCTTTATCTTTTAATCCCACACCGAGCATTCACTTATCTTACAACCCCATCTATAAATATATTGAACAACCACAGCGACATCACATTTCCTTGTCCAAAGCCTACTTCTATTGGAAAATAATCTCCCTCTCTCCTACATACTCTAACCTGAGCCTCACTCTCCTCATAAAAACTCGTCAATGCTTTCAGTAACCTACCTCCTATTCCATACATTTGCAACATCTGCCACATTGCCCCCCCCCCATCCACCCTGTCATATGCCTTTTCCAAATCCATAAATGCCACAAAAACCTTTTTACCCTCATCTAAATACTGTTCACCTATATGTTTCACTGTAGACACTTGGCCTACACATTCCCTACCTTTCCTAAAGCCTCCTTGTTCATCTGCTGTCCTACTCCCCATCTTACTCCTAATTCTTTCAGTAACAGCAATACCATACATTTACCAGGTCTACTCAACAGACTTTTTTTTATTAACACATCGGCCATTTCCCACCAAGGCAGGGTTGCCCAAAAAGAAAAACTTTCATCATCATTCACTCCATCACTGTCTTCCCAGAGGCATGCTTACACTACAGTTATAAAACTGCAACATTAACACCCCTCCTTCAGAGTACCAGCACTGTATTTCCCATCTACAGGAATCAAATCCTGGCTACCGGTTTCTCTGAATCCCTTCGTAAGTGTTACCTTGCTTACACTCCAACAACACATCAAGTCCTAAAAACCATTTGTCTCCATTTGCTCCTAACATGTTCACACATGCTTGCTGGAAGTCCAAGCCCCTGGCACACAAAACCTCCTTTACCCTCTCCCTCCAACCTTTACTAGGTCAACCCTTACCCCGTCTTCCTTCCACTACAGATTTACACTCAAAATTATTCTGTTTTGTTCTACCCTCTCCACATGTCCAAACCATCTCAATAACCCCTCCTTAGTCCTCTGGATAATAGTTTTGGTAATCCCATACCTCCTAATCTCCAAAGCACAGATTTTCTGAATCATATTCAGACCAAACTCTGCCCTCAGATATGACATCTCCACTGCCACCAGCGCTCTCCTTATTGCAACATTCACACCCCATGCCTCACACACATACAAGAGTGGTGGTATAACTCATACATTCCCCTCTTTTTCTACAGGGATAAAGTTCTTTGTCTCCACAGACTCCTCAGTGCAACACTCACCTTTTCTCCTCCTCAATTCTATAATTCACCTCATCCTTCACAGACCCATCTGCTGACACATCCTTTCCCAAATATCTGAACACATTCACCTCCTCCATACTGCCTACTTTTACTGGGAAATAATCTCCCTCTCGCCTACATACTCTAACCTGAGCCTCACTATCCTCATGAAAACTTTTCACTGCTTCCAATAACCTACCTCCTATTTCATACATTTGCAACATCTGCCACATTGCTCCCCTATCCCCCCTGTCATATGCCTTTTCCAAATACATAAATGCCACAAAAACTTCTTTGCCCTTATCTAAATACTGTTCACCTACATGTTTCAGTGCAAACACTTCGGTCACACCCCCCCTATCCTTCCTAAAGTCTCCTTGTTCATCTGCTCTCCTGCTCTGCATCTTACTCTTAATTCTTTCAATAACAACTCTACCATCCACATTATCAGGTATACTCAACAGGTTTATTCCCCTATAATTCTACACTCTCTTTTGTCCCCTAGGTACCTTACCCTCTTCCATACATTTATTAAATAAAAACACTAACCTCTCCAAAACTATATTCCCATGTGCTTTTAAAATTATCTGTCTTTAACCCATCAATCCCAGCTGCTTTACCCCCTTTCACTTTACTCACTGCCCCAGGCACTTCCCCCACACTCACAACCAGCTCTTCCTCACTCCTACAAGATGTTATTCCTCCTTGCCCTATACACGGAATCACAGCTTCCGTCTTCATCACCATTTAACAATTCCTTAAAATATTCCTTCCATCTTCCAACATGGAGACAACTTATACAGAATGTGAGGTATTTGTATTATGGTATAAGATTCACAGACATGGGAATGAATGTGTATCAACCAAAACCAGACGTGTTCATCTGTTTACATACTTACTGTGTGGTTCTGTGGTCTCTTATACTGTATTCATTCTCTCTCTTGTTTATTCGTTTTTATATCTTTATATCGTATACTCACCTCTCACCCTACATTAAGACTAAAAATAATTTAAGGTAAGTAATGAGTGTACTGTATATGCATTTTATTGCTCTGGGTTGCTTTAAATGTCAAAATATATTACGTGTGGATGGGTAGCCAGGAGGGCTACCATACCTCTCATACCTCACTTCTTGCAATAAATGCAACTCACCTCTCACCGTACATTAAGACTACAAATATGTAATGAGTGTACTGTGTGTGTATTTTATTTTTTGTCTAGTGATGTAGCTTTATATATATATAATTTATATTATTTATATTAATTAGAATATTGTATATAGACTATATATATATATATATATTAGTTTAAACTTGTTATCTGGCATTTATATACATTTATTAGGGGAAAAAATAGTGCTCTGCTCTCTGGAGATGTCTGCTTTCCGGCGATTGTCTGGAACCAAACTTGGTATAAGTGGGGACCCTACTGTACTTAATCTCAATATCTGTAATCTTCTCAAATGTTAATCATTCCATTGTGTCCACCTTAAGTTAAATACTCATTACTGTAATTCCTCTCTCTACCAAACATATTAAAGCCATATAGCATGAACTAATAGAATATTCAGTTCTCTTGTATTCATTGTAAACTCACCTAATGACCATATGTAGAAAATTACTGCACTGTTATTGCCTTATTAATCTTAAGTTAGTCATAAGTTTGCCCTACATGTTCTGCATGTAAAGGGGCTTATAGCATGTACACCCAATTGTTGTACTCTTTTGTACACATATGTATCATGCTGAAATAAACTTCTTATCCTTTTTCTTTGGGACCATTATTAAGCAAAATTAAGAGGTATTTTTAGGCCACAGTAGATCATGGTATAACTGAAATTGTGGAAGTGAATCAGTGGACACAGGGGATCTACTGTATAATTAACTTCGAATGTTAAACAAAATGACAACTTACCCATTGTGATATATGATGTATTGCTCACATTCTGGAAGAAGTCTTCTCTGAAAATATAGAATAAAATACATTGTAAACTGAATATAGTATAGTCTAATTTCAAATGGGTGATCAAATGGGTCAACAAATGGGGGATACTATCCAGTCTCTTGTTTTAATACCAGTTATAGCCAACTTTCAGAAGTGTGTGTAATAGATTATGCAATAATATGCAATTCATGTTTTCATTCTTGAATTAAAAATTCCCTACAACGAAATAACTGATATTAAAGCTAGTATAATCCTTATAACTGACAAGAATTGTCAGAACATCAGAAAATTAATTCAAGGTGCTGCTTAATAGTTCCAATGAGTTAACAATTTTAACCTTAAAATGCAGTGATGCACCAGAAACTCTATTAAAACTTAACCCTAACTCATGCATGAATACAGTTGTCTTTTAATTTCATTCTTATCTAAGAAAGAAAGTGCCTCTAGGCACCATGATGGTAATGCCAGAGCAATGGTAAGAATGAATGGGAGAGTGTTGATATCCTTGGGGTAAATTTTACTACAAACTGACTATGAAGAACCACTTTGTAAATCTTGCAAACAAACCTGCCAGGAAACTTACAACACTTACATATATCTCGAATTTGTTCGACAGCTAGGTTGCAAGATTCTGTAAAAGACACAAATGCACTCACACTTTGAGTATGCTCAACTTTCTTGGATTGCCTGCCCCAAGGTCTCATCTGAGACATCATGACAGAATATAGAACAAAGCAAGATGACTCATCTCTTACCTGGACCCAGCCTGGACATCTCTATCATTTCAGCAAAGCCTTCAACACAGGAGGAATCAGGGTAGCCTTACTGTTATGTACAAGAGCAATAGTGTCACAATACCACACTTGGCTCCACTCCGAGGAGAGCAAGAATTGAGCTACACCACATGACAAGCAGCAAGCAGCAACACTGACTATATGTATCTTTTCCAGAACATCACTTCATCTGAGATCATTTATTACTAGGATGACTCATAACTGGAACATGTTTGTACAGAATAATGATATCATTGAAATAAAGTCGGTTGACCAAATGAAATTACTGGCTCACAGATGGTTCCAACTTCATCCTGTTTCCTATCAATATATCTCTTAATAAAAAAGACTTTCAAAATCAGCTGGTGTAGGTAACAGCTCTTTACTTGTGTCAGAAACTTTAAACCAAATTGTAAAACCATAAAGAGAGAGAGGGAGACAGTCACACAGGCAAAGATAGTATAAGTCCAGTCAAACCTACGTATTTTGTGGTTTGTCACCATGTCACATGTGCTGCTGCTTAACAGACCTGGTTCTGTAAATTAGCCACATGTGCAACATTTGATTATCTTTCATGAGGAAACGTTTTGCCACACAGTGGCTTCATCAGTCCATACGAAGAAGAATGGTGAAGAACAGGAGGAGTTTGAAGTAATCAGTCCCTCAACCTTGAGTTGATGTGACCAGTCCGTCAATCTTGAAAAGAATACAGCAGATGTGCAAAGAAGTGGCTTATATACTGTAGGCAGGAGAGGTGCAAGAGTCATAGATGGTATCACACATGACGAATGTGTAAGTAGGTCATGCCCAAGGGTTAGGCAACTTTGAAGAACTCCCTGTATTAAGATCCCAGATGTTGCTGTGTCAGACAGGAATGTACATGAATGGGTCCGCTTCCACTTTCGTCAAATGTGATACCACCTACAACTGCCGCACCTCTCCTGCCTACAGTATACGTATAAGAAACTTCTTCACACATATGCTGTATTCTTTTCGAGATTGATGGATTGACCACATCAACTCAAGATTGAGGGATTGATTACCTCAAACTCGTCCTGTTCTTCGCACTCTCCTTTGTATGGACTGCTGAAGCCACAGTGTGGCAAAACGTTTCCTCATTAAAGATACCCAAATGTTGCACGTGTCTAATTTATCAACTTGTCGGTTCTCTGAACCATTCATCCACAGACCTGGTTCTGACCAGAACTTAGTGCAGCACATACTGTTTCACTCTTAACTCACTAGACAGATATAGATGCTCGGTCACGTTCATTCTCTGAATGGCCTATGACCTGGGCGTGGCTAGGGACAAACAGTCACTTTGTACCAATTGTCATAATAAATGTAAGTCTTGCTTCCGTGCCTGTTATTTATTTCACCTTGAAGTAACGACTTTCGCTCATAACCTTCCTGTCACCAATCTACTATTCTACTATTCCCACTTCCTTGCTCACCCCATCTGTACCCTCTTGAACTAAAAACGAGACTTTGCCACAGCCAGTCACAGACACTCTGCAGCTCTTCTCTACAGTCTCCCTACGATTTCCATTGGGGAGGGGAATCTTTACCTTCGTCTTCATCGTTCTTGATCTTCAAGATGAACTGCTCTAATTGTGTAAAGATTAAACCTTGCAGTGGAGCTGTGAACAACTCCTCAAAACTTGCACCTGCAGTTAGGGGCGGCTTACAACTTAAGTTTAACACTATTCTGACGCTCCAGGATGCTTTCACTGTCATGTGCAATGATGACGTTAAGGCTGAAAAGCTACTCACCACCGCTGCTACCACTACTCTCACTGACTGAGGCTTTATAGGCACGTCCTCTCCGGCTTTAAGGGAAACTTCAGGCTAAACAACATGCCTAGTTTTACATTTCTGGATTCGCCACCATCTGCTGATATAATCAAGATCACCACAAAAATGGTCAATATCACAAAACCAGTAGAGGAATTACTCCTAACCAAGGACGAGACTAATGATATGCCACCATCGACTTCCACCACCACTGCTTAGAAACCACGCCTCAACCACTACATGAAGACACAATAGAAATTGAAAAGGGAAAAGAAGATGAAACTCCTCCATACCTTAGATGGACAGATATAACATTCTACATCTCCCTGCCACAAAAAGATACAATGTATGCTGAAGAACTGTTTACTGACTTCAAGATGGAACCATCATGTTCAAAGCATCCCCGCTAACAAATGCAAATCACAGGATTACTGTTTTACAAAGGGCCATTACTGTCTTACAAATTTACTAACTTTTTTCACTAAGGTGTTTGAGGAGGTAGATCATGGTAATGAATATGATATTGTGTATATGGACTTCAGTAAGGCTTTCGATAGAGTTCCACACCAGAGGCTATTGAGGAAACTTAAGGCACATGGAATAGGAGGAGAAATTTTTTCCTGGGTAGAGGCATGGCTGACAAATAGACAGCAGAGAGTTTGCAAAAATTGGGAGAAATAAGAATGGAGGCACATCACAAGTGGTGTTCCTTAGGGGTCAGTGTTGGGCCCGTTGCTGTTCACAATTTACATAAACGACATAGATGAGGGAATAAATAGCGACATAAGTAAATTTGCTGATGACACCAAAATAGGCCGTCGAATTCATCCTAATGAGGACACAAGAGCACTGCAGGATGCTTTGAATAGACTGATGCAATGGTCGGAGAAGTGGCAGATGCAGTTTAATATTGACAAATGCAAAGTTCTAAATGTTGGACGGTTAAATAACCATGCCATATATAAACTAAATAATGTAGATCTTAATACTACTGATTGCGAAAAGGATTTAGGAGTTCTGGTTAGCAGTAATCTAAAACCAAGACAACAGTGCATTAGTGTTTGCAATAAAGCTAACAGAATTCTTGGCTTCATATCTAGAAGTATAAATAATAGAAGTCCTCAGGTTGTTCTTCAACTCTATATATCCTTGGTTAGGCCTCATTTAGACTATGCTGCTCAGTTCTGGTCACCGTATTACAGAATGGATATAAATGCTCTGGAAAACGTAGAGGAGGATGACAAAGATGATCCCATGTATCAGAAATTTTCCCTATGAGGATAGACTGAGGGCCCTGAATCTGCACTCTCTCGAAAGGGGTAGAATTAGGGGGGGGATATAATCGAGGTGTATAAATGGAAAACAGGAATAAATAAAGGGGATGCAAATAGCTTGCTGAAAATTTCCAGCCAAGACAGGACTCACAGCAATGGTTTCAAGTTGGAAAAATTCAGATTCAGGAAGGATATAGGAAAGCACTGGTTTGATAATAGAGTTGTAGATGAGTGGAACAAACTCCCGAGTACAGTTATTCAGGCTAAAACGTTGTGTAGTTTTAAAAATAGGTTAGATAAATACATGAGTGGGTGTGGGTGGGTGTGAGTTGGACCTGACTAGCTTGTGCTGCTGGGTCTGGTACAGTGCTCCATCCTTGAGTGGAGGTGACCAGACTGGGTGGGTCATTGAGCTAATCCAGGGGGTGGGTCATTGGACTAATCTGGGGGGAAGAGGGCATGGACTTGCTCTGCATGGGTCAGTAGGCCTATTGCAGTGTACCTTCTTTCTTATGTTCTTATGTTCTCTATCAAAACAGAATTGAACAAGACAAACAAGATATAAATTACACATATCTCCAAATTTTGATTCAAATCCCTTAACCCTTAAACTGTCCAAGTTTATATGCGTAGTGCTCCAAAAGTAGATCTACGTTTTTTATATATTTTCAAACATAAAAAAAAAAGTTCAAAGTTATTTTACACGTTTTCAAATGTAAAAAAAAAAAAATTATTTTTTTACATACTTTCAAATGTTGAAAAAAACGAAGATCTACGTTTGGACAGTTTAAGGGTTAAGAATGGTTCATCTACCACCAAATAGAAATAAATGTACTTAACCATTCACCACGAAGCTGCCCTTTCTGAAACCATCGACCAATCACCTTAAAGCATTTGCCTCACCCCAGCTTATCCTCCTGCTTGCCTGCCACTTCTATAAGTGCTTTACAATGCCCAGCAGCTGCGTGTAGCCCCGGCTCTTTTCCTACAACCTAGGACATGCCTCTTGCTGGCTATTCTTCGTCTGTCCCCACTTCCTCCTCACCCTTAGTGGGTCCTTACCTGTGAATCTGTCATTTGTTTGTGAAATAACTTCAAGAAATTCCATGATTATGTATTCTATGGAAAGGGAGCATAGACATGGGTCATTCCACATTCACTAAAATCAACA